TTTGCTCCAGCCCAATGAACCATCTCTCCAGCCTTTCTTTACTTTCTCTCCCCCGCCAATTCCCCCTCTCCTGCCCGCTGCTTTTGTTTTTTGACTGGGACTGAACCCAGGCCACCCCCATGCTCCATCCTGGAGCTGCAGCTCCCACATTGACACTGAATCTGGAAGGAGCACTGTGAAAGGAGCTCAGGAGGAGGTGCCGTGGTTCACGCTCAGAACGTGTCTGGGTGGTATGGATAAAGGAGGCAGCATTTCTGTCCTGAGTCTGTGTCCTGTGAGGGGAGGTGGGAACAGGGAAGTGGGTAGACATGAGGGGCTGTGGTCCTAGATGGGGTGAAACCAACACCGCAGGAACAGACGTGGGGGTGGGGAGCCCACACCTGCTTCCCCTCTCTGAGTTGGCAGGAAGCCAGGGTCAGTCTCCTTGCTCAGTGCCTGGTCAGAAATTGGGTGGTCCTGCAGGGCGATGGTGAGCCCCTGCCCTCCCCCTTGACGAATACTGCGGAAAAGCCATAAAACCGCTGAGCAAGTGGCATCTCAAGGCCAGTGGCGGGCTCCTTATCACTCCATTGTCCCTGGGACAAACCTCCCCTGCTCCTGCTGGGACAAGAATCTGGAATCAGGGGCTGGAGCGATAGGACAGTGGGTAGGACGCTTGTCTTCCACGCAGCCTACATGGATCTGATCCCCAGCACGACATATGATCCCCTGAGCCCTGCCAGCAGTGATCCCTGAGCACAGAGCCAGGAGGAAGTCCTCAGCATCACCAGGTGCAGCCCCCTAACCTCCCTCCTCAAAAAAACCCAGAAGTACTTGTGAGCCCATGGGAAGCAGAGATGCCGAAAAACCACCAAGGAGCCTGAGGCCCGGCACATCCCTCTGGCACCATCCGAGCTGCAGATCGGGCCTGCTAGGCATGGCGAGGATGGTCTCTCATTTTCCTTCCAGGTGCCGAGGCTCAAGGTTTCACATTCAAAGCACAAATCCTCTGCCACTGAGCTACATTCCCGAGAGCTGTCTCCTTCCGGGCTCACAAGGGAGGGGCAGGAAAGACAGGAGAGGGGCTAAGGCCTTGCTCGCAGCCACCTTGGGTTTCATCCCAAACCTGGTATCGCAAGGCCCCACCCTGCCATTAAGCCACGCTGGGTGGCTGGGTGGTCCAGGTTATCCCTGGCATCATCAGTCCCTTGCACTGAACCACGGACACAGTTGGCCAAAGATTCCCTGGGAAAGATTCCCAGGATTCCTAAATTCCACTTGAAAGACCCAAAAAATTTATCTTTATTGGTCACACCTGGCGATGCACAGGTGTTACTCCTCACTCTGCACTCAGGAATTACTCCTGGTGGTGCTTAGGGGACATATGGGATGCTGGGAATCGAATCCGGGTCAGCCGCGTGCAAGGCAAACGCCCTACCTGCTGTGCTATCGCTCTAGCCCCAAGACCCAAAATATTGGAAAAAAAAAAAAAAAGGTCAGGCTGAGGAGAGAGGGAGCGGCAGAGAGCAGCAGAGGTTCTGGAGCTCGACCAGTTCCCTCCAGCCTGATAGTATTGTTGCTCTGGGCGTGGCCTCTAGCTTTAAAGAGCAGAACCCACCGGGGCTGAACGCAGCCTCCTCAGACCTGCTCTCCATCCCGCCTGCAGGCCTCCAGGAGCTCAGCAGACGGGCGCACAGGTGAGCAGGGATAGGCCAGGTTGAGGGGCCAGTGCTGGCACCGAGGCTCTGCAAGGCTGGGGGTTAGGGAAGTCTGGGGATGGGTGGGTGCCCAATATTCTAGGCACCAGGGAGCAGGGCTGGAGGATTAGATGGTGCCTGCCCTGGGACAATGGTCTATGAATGGTGGCTTAAGGGGAGAGGAACCAGAATGCCTAAGAGAGATGGTTTAAAGGGCTAGAGCACACACCTGGCATGCCCACACCCCCGATTCCACCTCTAGTCCCAACAGGTGTAACTTTGGTGGCCCGCTGGACCCCCGGCGAGGGCTGGTGCCGTCGCTCGGGCTGGAGTACATGCTTTGCAGTTGGGAGGCCTGGGTTTGATCCTCAGCACCGCATGGTCCCCTGAGCCAGGAACTGCCCCTGAGTACCAACAAGTATCCCCCAACAAAAAATGTCAATATGTGAAGTGAACGTGGGATCCTCCTGGTCCCAGAATGCCAGTATGGCAGAAGGGAAGAGAGATCTGAAGCCAAGAAGGGCCCACTTAGGAGATTGCTCCAAGGCAGTGAGTCCTCCCGGTCAGGAGCCTGTGAGGTGGTGGTTCAGAGTGCCGGAGCGAGTGTCCCACATGCAGAAACCCCAGGTCCCATCCCAGTATTAAGAGTCTTCAGCTAAGCCCCTGCTGCAACCTCAAGCCCGGCCAGGATGGTCCCAAGACATAAAAGAACATGTCCAAAAGCCAGAAAGAACATGTATTGGGGGGTATGTGTGTGTGTGTGTGTGTGTGTGTATGTGCGCGCGTGTGTGTGTGTGAGTCAGTGCTTGAGGGACTATATGGGATGCCTAGGTTGGTCACATGCAAGGCAAATGCCCTACCTGCTGTACTATTGCTCCAGTCCCAGAAAGAACATGTTTATTACCTCTCTTTTCTACATACTTGTACTTCAAAGGACTCTCCTGTATTTATATCTTTAACTATTTTTTTGGCCACACCTGGCAGTGCTTGAGGGCCACTCCCAGTGGGAGCTCAGGGGATCAAACCCAGGAGTTAACTCTCAAAAAAAACAAAATAGAAATTGGGGAGGAATGTTTGGGCCACATCTGGATATGCTCCAGGCTTACGCCTAGTTCTGTGCTCAGGGATCACTCCAGGCAGGACCCAAGGGACCATATGCAGTTCCTAGTTGGCTGAGTGCAACGCAAGCGCCTTTCCTGCCTACTATCCAGCCCCATCCTTCCCTTCCTTTTATTATTTTGTTTCATTTTGTTTGGGGGGGGGGGGGGATCACTTTTGGCAGTGCTCAGGGCTTACTCCTGGGTCTGCACTCAGATCTCTCCTGGCAGTGCTCAGGGAACCATGTGGGATGCTGGGGATCGAACTCAGGTTGGCTGTGTGCAAGGCAAACGCCCTCCCAGCTGTGCTTTAACTCTGGCCCCTATCCTTCCTTTTAGTAATACTTCGTGCTAGTCACTGTTGAGACTTCGTGTCTCATCGCATCAAATCCAATCCTAACTAGCTAGATTTACTAGTACAATCAGCCTCTTTTTTTACACCCCAGCACAGAGTTTAGTAACAAGCTGAGTCCCACAGCTCTTTTGTGACTGCGGGAAGAAGTCCCAGCCAGCTGAGCACAGCAGGTTGTAATGGATTCCTGTGGCCACTGCCCTCAGTTAACAATGTGCAGAATGTTAGGAGGGTCTTATCTCTCAGACTCAGCCCCTGAAATGGTCAATAGGAGTCCTTTGTACCCTAAGGAGACAGGAGCAATGACCATCCACTAGTCAGTTTCCAGAAGTATGGGCTCTGGGGTTTGGGGCTGCCCTAAATGGTGGTGCCCGGAGGGTGAGGTGAGAGCCTCGAGTCAGCAGTGGCAGCCCCGTGGTCAGCATCTGCTCCATAGGTCAGCCCCGGGCAAGCCCTCCAGAAGGTTCTTATGGAATCTGGCCTGATGGCTAGGCCCTGACCTTGGGAACAATGGCCCCAGGCCCTCTGTGGGTGTGGCAAGGGGGGACACCCAAACTGGAGTTAGGAAGAGCCTTTTTCTCTAAACTTGAGCTGGGTGCCTGGACATGGGGGCAGGAGGGTTTCCCACACTGGGGCTATTCTGGGGTCTGTGCTTAGGAGTGACTGTGGCCATGCTCAGGGGATCCTGTGGGTGCTGGGAATTCGAACTGGGGTTGTGGCCGCTGCAGCTGCATCCACAGCAAATGCCTTTGCCCCTTCTTGTCTCTGTCCCACCTGCAAGTGCAGGACTTTTTTTTTTTTTTTTGGATCATACCCAGTGATGCATAGGAGTTAGTCCTTGCTTTGCACTCAGAAATTACTTCTGGCAGTGCTCAGAGGATCTTCTGGGATGCTGGGAATCGAACCAGGGTCGGCCGCATGTAAGGCAAATGCCCTACCCACTGTACTATCGCTCCAGCCCCCCAAGTGCAGGATCTTAACAGTCTTTTTGTTTGAGGGTCATATACTGGTGCTCTCAGCCCCTTAATACACCTTTCTTTATGGGGTTAGTTTTGGGGCCACACTTGGTAGGGCTCAGGGCACCTTATGGGGTGCCAGGGATGGAAACTGTGGCCATGTGCAAGGCAAACGTCCTACCCGCTATACTATTTCTCCAGACCAGTCTTATTAGGTATTTAACTGTATGTTAATTGCTCCAAACAAACACAACTAAAACTAACGCAGTCCACAAACTTCCTCAAAGAATGACTGTCAGGCCTAGATTCAAGGTGAGGTTTGAGCAGACCAGGCCAGTCTTCAGGAAAACCCCGCACCCAAAAAGCAGGTCCTTGACGATGAATTTGCTCAAAAGTAGCTGAGGGGCCAGGCCACTGTGTGTCTCTGGGAGAGAATGAGCTGTGCGTGGGGCCAGAGCAATGTATTCCCAACAGGGAGGACATTTGCCTTACACACGGCCAAGCTAGGTTCAATCCCTGGCACCACATGTGGTCCCCTGAGCCGCCTGCCAAGAGTAATCCCTGAGCACTGCTGGGTGTGGCCCAAAAAACTATCCCCTCAAACAAAACTTTTTTAAAGCTATCTGAGTTCTCTCTGCTTTTTGGCTCACGTCCGGTATTGGTCTGGGGTTACTCCTGGCTTTGCACTCAGGAATTAGTCCTGGTGGTGCTGGGGGACCATATGGGATTGAACCCTGGTTGGCCATGTGCAAGGCAAACACCCTCCCCGCTGAACGATTTGCTTCAGCCCAAAGCTGTCTGGCTTCTTTGTCAGTGTTAGACAGAATAGTAGTTCTCCAAGCCCTACACTGCTGTTAACATCTCTAGCTGAGGAAGGTTCTCAGAGAGTCCCCTAAGTGCCCCCTGGGACTCTCCCCACCAGGTGCTGTGAGCTGCCTACCCCTTCTCTGCCCTCTTCTGGGACATGGACAGAGTGACCCTGGGCCTCCTCCTGGTGCTGGCAGGTAAGTTGTCCCGGGTGACCTTGCTGCTGGGGACCAAGACGGTGACAGGCAACATCTCCCAAAGGTGCTGCCCAGGGCCCGGGTATGAAGTGTCTCAAATGGGCCAGAGCAGCAGCTCACTCACTCTTTCTCATGTGCACGCACACACAACATTTGGCAACGGACATTTTTCCAGAGGGGAATAAAAAGACATTGACATACTATCTCATTTCGAGTACAAGAAAGAATTGAAGGAATAGGAATGTAGGAAGGGGAGCAGATACCAAAGGTGGGGGACAAAATCCCAGGTAATCGGGAGGTGGAAAAGTCGGAAAGGAAGGTGCCCCCAATTATGCTGACCCTTGGCCCTGGGACTAGAATCCCATGGTCCTGCCCACTGACTCATTTTGGGACCTGAATCCTGGATTAACATCAGCCCCCCTCTTCTCCCACCCAGGTGTCCCTGCCCTGGAAGCTAATGACGTGGTTGGTGAGTGAGACCCCAACTGCTCTGTCACATCAACTCTGCATTTTCCCTTCGAGACCCCACAGGGCTCCCAGTTCTGGCCCTCATTGATTCTTTTATTTTCTTTCTTGCAGATAAAAACAGTCCCCTCTACTACGGTAAGAGCTAACAACCCCCTGTCACTGCCTCTCCCCCCACCCACCTCATTCTGCATCTCTTCCCTCATGTTGTTTCTGTGATGCCTGTGCAGGGGTCACTCCAGGCAACGTTTGGGGGAACACGTCATGGGAGGGATAGAACACAAGGCTTCTTCCACTTTTTCTTTTCTTTTTTGGGTCACACCCAGCGATGCTCAGGGATTACTCCTGGCTCTGCACTCAGTAATTACTCCTAGCACAGTGCTCGGGGTACCATGCCAGGGATTGAACTTGGGTCCCCGTGTGCAAGGCAAACGCCCTACCTGCTGTGGTATCGCTCTGGCCCATCACTTCTACTTCTTGTGTCATCTCCCTAGCCTGTTTTTTGTTTGGGGGTCTCCCAAGCAGTGCTGGGGACCAGCATCACACCTGGTAGAACAAGGAAAGCCATACAGTGCCAGGAATCGAACCCAAGGCCTTGTATACTGGCCAGGTATGTGCTCCAGCCCTGTGAGCTATCTCCTCAGCCCTTCTTGGACCTCTCCTACCCTAAACAAACGATAGGGAATATAGACCTCCGTGGAGACAGAGTGGCGATTGAAGGGGTGAGGGCGGCTGGACAGGAGGAGCAGGGTGAGGATTAAAGAATTAGCACTGGGACTAAAAGAATGAGGCCTACAAGGGGTGTGGTTTAGGGGCACAGCATTTGCCATGCATATGTGAAATCTGGGCTCAATCCCCAGGACTGCAGGGGAGGGGGGATGGACGGGACATGGGAGGGCGTGTAGGAGAGGGCCCAGAGGAGCAATAGTACAGTGGGCAGGGCATAGGTTGGGCGTTTGCCTTACATGCGGCCCACCCAGGTTCGATCCCTGGCATCCCATACAGTCCCCCAGCACCACCAAGAGTAATTTCCAAGTGCAGAGCCAGGAGTAACCCCTAAGCATTGCCAAATGTGCCCCTGCCCCCCCGAAAAAAAAAAAAAGAAACAGAAAGGACCAGAGAGATACACAGCATGTAGGGCACTTGCCTTGCATGCTGCCAACTTGGATTTTTATCCCCAGTATCCCATATGATCATCTGAGCCCCACCAGGGGGTAATCCCCAAGCACAGAGCCAGGGGGTAATCCCCAAGCACAGAGCCAGGAACCGAACCCAAGGCCTTGTATACTGGCCAGGTAAGCCCTGAGCACAGCCGGGTGTGGCCCAAAATGTAAAACAAATCTCATATTAGTATTTATTCCGTTTATTCTCAGATGCCTTCTGTTAGACCAGCTCGGTGGTGCCCTACACACACACACACACACACACACACACACTCTGCTAAGCAGTCTTCATCCTCTCAGCTTCTTCATCCTCTACCCTCCAGCGTCCTGAGTCAGTTCGAATGCCACCTTTGTTCCTGATCCTTTGTTCCTGAAACCCCCCCTGCTTTCTGCCCTGGTGCTTCCCACCGGAAATTACAAGACTCGGCTTACTGGCTCATCTTTCTCTTGTCCTTACTTGTCTGAGCATCTGCACAAGCAGGGGCTCGTAAATATCTTTTGCGGGGAGTACCGCGGGCAGAGTCGGGCTGGCTCCATCAGGCCCCTCTCTGCTCCCCCAGACTGGGAGACCCTGCAGCTGAGCGGGACCATCTGTGCAGTGATCCTGTGCATCGTGGGAATCGGCTTCCTCCTGAGTGAGCAGCGGGGAGGGGGGAGAGCGGACAGACGGGTGGCCCTGGCTCCCATCCTGGCACTCACCTTTTCTTCCACTCACAGGCAGCAAATGCAAATGCAAACACAAGCAGAAGCCCAGGTGAGACTGGGCCCCTGTTAAGTGCCCCCCTTAAAGTCCTACACCGTGGAGAAAGATATCTGACTGCTCCCCGGGCTTCCACTGGGATTTGCTGCGCTCTGGTAACCAACCCTGAATGGCCCCCAAACAGCGAATGCCCACGGTATCACTTAAAATGATCCTGGGGCTGGGGAGAGATGGCTTCAGGGATTGGAGCGCATGCTTTGCATGTAGGAGGCCCAGGTTCAATACCCACACTTACATCAAAGGAAGAGCCCCTATGAAAATAATCTTCAAAGTGAACTGACAGCGGGTAGGTCGCTTGCCTTGCATGCGGCCGACCCAGGTTCAATTCCCAGCATCCCATGTGGTCCCCTGAGCACCACCAGGAGTAATTCCTGAGTGCATGAGCCAGGAGTAACCCCTGTGCACCGTCGGTGTGACCCAAAAAGCGAGAAAAAAAAAGTTAAGTGACAGTCTAAGAAGGACAAAGGAGACATGGCCTTGGGGGGGGGGTACCAGGAGTGACAGGGTGGAGGGGGTGGAGAGAAAGGCTGAGCATACTAACCCATCTCTTCCTACCACAGCCCCTTACCAGAGAAAGCTGTTCCACTCATCACTCCAGGTGAGGCGAGACCTGCAGGGCTGCCGGGTACACGCTGGGTGGACCATAAGGCTGGCTGGAGCCAGCCTTGCTTCAGAGTATGACGCGGGGAGGCCGTGCAGTGGCTGTCTCACACCCGACTCTTGTTCTCTCTGCAGGCTCTGCCAGCTCCTGCTGAGCACGTGGTGGTGCTCCCACTGCTGACCCCCACGATTGCCTTCCCAGTCGGAGCAGGTCTTAGCTCTTGTGATGGCCTTTCCCTGCAAGTGGGTCTTGGAGGTGGGTCAGTCACCCGGCACCCTTCTGATGGGAAACTGTGGAACCTGGTTTGTAGTAAACTAAACAGGTTTCTCCCTCGGTCCTGTGATCTCTGTGGGACTGGAGGGGGCTGAGAGGCTTTCTCAGGACAGCCAGCTTCACAGTGGCAGGGTTGGATTTGGAGTCCTCCTACCAGCATTCTTCCACTGAGGCCTCCTACCAGCATTCTTCCACTCTGGTCCCCTCACCCATCATTATCATTCTGGACGCCCCGTGCCAGGCACTGCATTCAAAGCAGAGGAACTGGCAATAGCAACATTCGGCCTGGATACCCAGGACCCGGCCTCCCGAACACTTTACATGACCCTCTGCTAAGACCCCATCTCACTGAGTGCTCCTAGCACTCTCACGGCCCACGGACCACCTTCTTTAGGGAACAGCCTATGAGATCCCACTAAGCTGTATCCCAAGAAGTCATGCACGGAGCCTTTTAAAATCCAAACCATGCCAATCTAGGTCCGTCAATGGGTCTGAATCACACTTCTGGAATATCTCACTGCTTCTCTCGTCAGTTCTCTGTCTTGTAATGTAACCACACTCACTAACCTAGATAACCCAGGAAGCAGGGAACAGTGCTGAGCTCCTCACCCTTGCTCCCTCAGAGGGCTCTGAGGGGCGCTGGGGAGGTGGGCCGGGAGGGCAGTCAAGGTTCTCCCTTTGCCCATGACTCATAGTCTGGACCTGGTGGGTGAAACAGGACCTGTGCTGGGAGTCAGACTAACAGCGCATTATGCCAAACCCTCCACTCCTCAGATTCAGAGTGATGTCAGATTCTCTAGCTGGATCCTAGACTTTCCGTCCCCTGACTGTGCGCAGGATTCAGAAGACCAGTTCAGGGGAGTCTAAAGGTTGAGGACCTACATTCTCGTCCTCAGAGTTCTCTCCAGGACTTTCCGTCTAAAACTTCTGCAGAGGCTTCTTGAAGCAGGATATATAAGGGTCTGGAGTGAGACTGGGGACAGATAGTGAAGAATGTCAAGTGTGGTCCCAGACTGCAGCTGGAATTCCACAAACTCATGTGGGATCTAGGACATAGGACTAAAAGTACATCCCAGTCCCAGGTGGCTTGGCCGAGCACTGTGGTCAATTCATTCTGTGATATTTTCAGTACACGTGAGTCATGCTTTAAAAGAGGCATGCTGTAACTCAAGTAGAGCAGAACTTAGTCTTATACTAGATTTCTCCACTATGGGGGAGCTTCTTTCTCTTCTACTTTCTTTCCAATCAACTGTCTCTTTTCTAAAAAGAAGAAATAGAACAGCTACCTTGCATGTGTCAAGCCCTGCCTGGGTTATTTTATTTTGTTTTTGAGCCACACCTGACAGTGCTCAGGTCTTATTTCTAGATCTGTGCTCAAGGATCATTCCTGGTAATGCTCAGGGGACCATAAGGAATGCTGAGGATCGAACCTGGGTCAGTCGTGTACAAGGCAATCACCCTATCTGCCCAGCGCCTGGATTCTATCCCCAAGTTTTCATGATCTGCCACGTCCCCTCCAGTAACACCATCAGGTGAGGTCTGAGTTACCCACGGAGCACCGCTAACCTGCAGGGTACGGCGCGTAACAGCACCTGCCTTCCAGGCACTGCGACCGGATTCGCACCTCAGCCCCGCATATCATCCCCAGAGCATCGCCAAGAGCGAGTGATCCCTGAGCTGAAACCCAAAAGGGAAAAAAAAAAATTCAGTAAGGGCAGCACAGGTGATAGGGAGATCTTAAGCTGATTCCTCAGAGAGAAAATGCAGAGAAGCCAGGCGCGTGAACCTCTCCCAGTAGAGGCAACATGGCGTGCAAACAGCCTAAAGCACAGGGACCTTCGTACTTTTTGTTTTTTCGAAAACCAAAGAAAAGGCAGTAGAGTAGGGCTGTGAGGGCAAGAGCGGCGGCGGACACAGCAGGGAGAGCCACTGCCCCCTGCTGGGCAGGGGCCAACCTGCAGGTGCCGGAAGTCCCTGCGGCTGGAGGAAGGCAGCGTGGGCCGCATCGGCTCAGGCGCAGGCGCGCTCGGGGAGCGCGCATCGGCGCAGGCGCAGGCGCAGGCGCGCTCCGGTCCAGGCTCAGGCGTGCCGAGCACAAAGAAGCGATGGGCGGAGCCGCCATGCGAAACTGCGTCAGAACCTCGGAAGGCGCTTTTCCTTGCTTATCAGTGGGTGCGAATTCCTCTCTTGGGGACCCGAGAGGATGCTGGTGTGAGTGGATTGAGCTTGAGAAAATAAAGCTTTTCCCATGAAAGCAAAAGCGTGTAGCCCCGGAGTCACGGTGGCGACATGGTCGGAAAGCCCCGCTCTGCGTCACAGTTGACACAAGTCTTGACGAGCACATGCTGCAAGCAGCTCTACCGTTTGAGATTCTACCAGTAGGGATGATATGCCATTTAATACCGTCCTTATCTGGGGGCCCCAGCCCCGGGGATTCTGGGCCCAATTGTAGGGTGAACGGCTCTTCCCTGGCCGTGATCTCGGGCTGCCTTCGGCTTTCTGCTGGGGGAGGGGAGTCCCCATGCTGTCCCGGGGAACGTGCGGTGCTCGGTGCTGCGGATCCACCGCTTCATTCAAATTTCGTATTTCTCCTGGCTGGATCCCATAGTTGCCCCAGATTTCTTGCCGGGGAGGGTGACCACGCCCGACAGTGCTGAGGGCAGTGCTGGCTCTGCCTCGGAATTACTCCTGGCCGGCTCCGAGGGTCATGTGGGATGCCACAGATCGAACCCGGTGAACACCTTACCCGCTGTGCTATCGCTCCGGCCTTACAGTTGCCCCAGATTCTATAAGCTACCATTCCAAAGTCCGAGGGGAAAGGGGATGGCTTATTGCAATTCTGGACCTGACTGTCCAAGTACTATCTCTTGCCCGGTGGTTTAGGCTGATTCCACCTATCAAGCTGGAGCGAGAGCCGTCATGGGGGTGGGGGTGGGGGGCAGGGAATCGCGGTTAATCAGGGCAGGATTTGGGAGCAGAAAATTAATTAGACGGGAACTTGCAGGATGGAGCCCGGGCTAGTTCATGAGGCTGGAAGCTAGGCTCTTTCAGAGGCTGCCGATTCCCTGCCCCCCCCTTCCCTCCTTTCTAACCGGAGAAAGGCTAGGATGAAAGGATTCCCTCCTATTCCCTGTGTGGCTTTGCAGGCTGTGCCTCAAAGTTCCACTTCTCTGAGTCTTTCTCCTGGGAGCAGGAATGACTTCGATCATAATTTCCTCCTATTACCTTCTCCCAAATGAGGGAAGTGCCCGGGAAAGAACCAGAGAAAGCAAAGGGTAATTTTCCACTTAATCATATAGCATGACAAGGGCTGGAGCGCTAGCACAGTGGGTAGGGCGTTTGCCTTGCACTCAGCCAACCTGGGTTCTATTCCCAGCATCCCATATGGTCCCCTGAGCACCACCAGGACTAATTCCTGAGTGCAGAGCCAGGAGTAAGCCCTGTGCATCGCCCGGTGTGACCCAAAAAGAAAAAAAAAAATCATATAGCGGGACAGACCTGGCAGTTCTGGGGAGATAGTACAGGGATTGTAGTGCTGGGGCCACTCCTAGCACTACACCGGCTCCCAGCTTCTCTGGGTGTAACCCTGGAGGACCCCAGCTCGCCAATCGCTGGTGTCGTCTTGGAGGATCTCAGAAACTGCTGGGATGGTCCTGGTGTCCCCCAGTATCACTGTACCCCAAGCAGTTCTGAGATAACAGCACTGAAGTGTCTGGTCACAGCTACTAGTAGTTTCCAGGGCCCAGGCACTGCTTGGAAGGCCCTTGCTGTAAAATACTCATGTAAACACAACCACAAAAGCAGTATTTTGAAGCCAAGGAGATGTATCCTTAAAGGACTACAGCAATATCTTGTGTAGGAAATCCTGAGTTTTATTACACATCCCCACACAGGCACCATCCACTGGAGGTCCCCTGTAGCACTAGGCCAAAGTTTCAACCCATAGCCAGGTCACTACTGTATGGTCCAGTTAGCTAAGTATTACCAGAAGTGGCCCTCATACTTTTTGGGGGGAGGCCTCCCCCCAAAAAACAAGCATGTTAATGAAGAAATACTGAAATCACTGTCTCAGAAATTAGAAGTACAGGCCAGAGATAGTATAGTGGTCACGGTACTTGCCTTTTATGTGACACTGCCAGTAATGATTCCAGAGTCTGGAACTAGGAATAGCCCTTGAGCACCACTGGGTGTGCTCCACCCCCACCAAAATATATAGGAGCAATGATAAAACATCATTTGCATACACAAGGCCCTGGATTTGATTCCCAAACCTCAACACAAATACATGTATAAATATATATGTGTGTATATATGTGTATATATATGTATGTGTGTGTGTGAATGAGACCAGTTGTAGTTACTGGTTTTGGCATATCGAATACACAACGGAGTGTGTCCAGAGTTCCGACATCCGTCGACGATCAAGAATCTGGGACGCTGTCTCATTTGCCAAGGTGTCAAAAATCAGATGGGCTGGTCACGTAATGAGATTTAAAGACGACCACTGGACTAGAGCTGTTACTGACTGGATTCCACAGGATGTCAAAAGACCGCGTGGCCGCCCACCTACCAGATGGTCAGACTTCTTCGTGAAGATCATGAACGATCGGTTTGAGGCTCTTCATGTTCCCAGAGCGAACAGATGCCATTGGGCTACACTAGCACGCGACAGGTACAAATGGAGCCGTTACTGGCGCCCGCTCGAGCAAATCGCCGACTAACGGGAAGTTAAGTGATTGTGTGTATGTGTATATATATATATATACACATACATATATGTGTATATATATATATATATACACATACATATATATATATATATGGGTTGGTTTTTTAAAGAGGATACACCCAGCGATCCTCAGGGGTTAGGCATCATATGGGATGCTGGGAATAGACCCAGGTCAGCAGTGTGCAAAGTACAGTAAAAGCCTCACCCACTGTACTTTGTCTCA